ATTAAATACAAATAGGTCTGGTCTGTTATTATACTAACAGCTTTTAGTATCTTGACCTCTCTAGCTAAAGCAACATCCTCAGTCACCTTCTAATTTTAACTTCTTTATTACACACACAATACCTGAAATCACCCCATCAATGGATTGGCTTATTTATTTACATACATTTCATCTGTCCCTGTCATTATACAGCAGGTTCTTTTAAGACAGGAACCCTAGAATGTCAATTCTGGCACTCAAATATTTCTTGCCTGATATCACAACCTAAAGCTAGCACAATCCCAAGCACTTAATACTTGGTAAATACCTAGTGGCTTAGTCTTTACACATTCAGGGCTTCTTTTCCCTTACTCTACCTGTCAGAACACTTGCCTCTTAAAGGTTCATAACAGTGCCTTTTGATGGGGATAAGAACCTATGAGAGTCTGTGTTCTGAAAAGAAGGTGGCAAGCAGTTCTTTTGAATACCTACCTTTCTGTGTCAAGTACTGGCACGCCCATCTTTTCTTTTGGAGCTTTTCAAAGGACACTGGGCAAGCAAGGCCACAAGTTGGTAAAGGTTAAGAACTTAAAACTCATTTTCCTGAATCATTTTTGCCTGTTTTTTAAAGTTCAGGCATAGAATGAGGCACACATACATACATTTAAGGAGAGGCTCACTATCAACAGAAGCAGTGGGAGAGTCAGGAATCCTCCACTGAGTTAATCATCTCTGAAAATCTCAATTAAGAACATAATTGACCTATAGGGGTGGGATGAGGAGAGAGATGGGAGGGAGGTTCAAAAGGGAGGGGATATATGTATACTTTTGGCTGATTCACGTTGAGGTTTGACAGAAAACAACAAAATTCTGTAAAGAAATTTTCTGTGAATCAATTTTTTGTACAGCAATTCTGTGAAGCAATTTATCCTTCAATTAAAAATAAATTTTTTAAAAAAGAAAATAATCAAGTTTATTCTGAATAATGGAATAATTAAAACCATGATTTATAATGATCTAATTCTGAAAACAAAAGTTGGAGTTGATCTAAACATGGAAAGAAAGTACTTATGGATTCCTAATTTCTAATTATTTTCTCTCCTCTTTCTTCACCACTGACTAGCGTGTGTGTGTGTGTGTGTGTGTGTGTGTGTGTGTTGAATGAGATCAATGTGAAATATCAATATTTCTAAACTACCTTTAAGATACATCAACTAGAAGCTTAATTTCTGCATAAATTCTTACCATAAAGACACAGATTAGAACTAAAAGTCTATGTTTATAAAATGAAATCATTACAGATGAGAAATCATTCCAACAGACCTTTTTCATTCATCCTTCATACATATCATGGTGCATATTCAGTCAGCCAAGAAAAACAAGAAAACATTATTTAACGATGTTTAACTTTCTACTTATGGACCTAGAGGGTTCTTGTTAAGATTAATATACTAATTTCAGATTCCCAAGTGTTTTACAACTATTGACAAAAACTTCATAAATGTATCATTTGTCCTTTGTGGATTAAGCAAGAGCTTTAATGGGCACTCTTAGTTCAGAAAATCAAAGCAAAGAAAAATCCAGGGCTCTAACATATCCCAAGACTGACTTTATTGGCCACAAATACTATCAGTTGCTTTTTTGAAGTGACAATCTTACTTCACTCATTTTACAGAAAATGAACAAATGCCCAAAACCCAAGACTGAATAACACTGTCGGTCAGGCATTTTAGTATGCTTCATTCTTGCAACTCAATCATAAGTGCTTTTCCTCAATCAACATACATGAGTATGCTTTATGCATACTTCCTCTTTTGTCACACAATATTAAAAAGATGTGTACACAGAGGTCTGAATTTAACAAAATTAGTAATTCTTACTGCTTTTTCAAGGACACTCTAAAGCAAAACTGAGAGAGGATATTTTGGTTTGTTTTCAGTGTGAGACTGTGGTAGAGAATATGAAGGCTTAGTGTCCCTTACTTGGTAAGTGCTGCAGGCCAGCAGTTTTACTCACCATGCTTCGCACCATCACTGCAAATGTCCACAGAGTGAAAGATGCCAATAACATCTTAGTTTTATCATGAAAATGGTTTTGACCCTGGAGACCTCCAAGGGTTTGCAGACCATACCTTGAGAACCGCTGCCCTAGAGCCACTTCCCAAACAAGACACTCCAGGATATGTTCATCAGCATGGTGGTGATTGTGGTGGTGGGGTGGTATCAGAACATTTTTCAAATATAAAAGACTGTTCTTTATTCTGAGTTATGGCCTGTCCTATCTTAGGTATTAAAATATATTTTCTGTTATGAAATAAAAGGGGAAACCAGATGGTAGTTTCTTGATTGCACTGCTTTTTTTTTTTTTAATGCCCTTATTTGGCAAAATGGGGCTTCCCTGGTAGCTCTATGGTAAAGAATCTGCCTGCAATGCAGGAGACCCGAGTTTGATCCCTGGGTCAGGAAGATCTCCTGGAGAAGGAAATGGCAACCATTTCCAGTATTCCAAAATACTCCAGTATTCTGGCCTGGGAAATCCTATGGACAGAGGAGCCTGGTGGGCTACAGTTCATGGGGTCACAAAAGAGTATGACACGACTTAGCAACTAAACAACAAATCTGGCAAAATAAAGTCTGGCCACTGTATGCTAATTCCCAATTTTTTTTTAGCTCAATGCCCTAGGGTGTCCTTCATCAAACAATTAACAGTTTTCTAGATGCTGTGAGGCCCTTTTATAAGCTCCAAAACTAAATTCTTCAGGAAATAACTAAGAATATGCCATGGTGAAATACATTTCAGCCAATCAACAAACCAAATCTGTATAAAAACAGCAGCATTCACATGGCATAGCAGATTGGCAAATTTATACGAACTAGCTATTTATTTGAAACACATGCCACTAACGAAACCCGTTATTAAGCATCTTACAAATCCCACTCCAAGGATGCCTTCAATTGCACAAACTTTGCAGTGGAAATTGTATCTCATTTCTTCGAAAACATTAAAAAAAACCAAACAAACAAGGGTTAACCAGATTATCTTTAAATTCCCTTCCAGTTGACCCTGAAATCAGTGCAATTCAAAGTCCCAGGTAGTTAACTGATTTATGTGTGGTCCTGAAAAATTAGGAAAAGAAAACACAAACTGACTTACATAGACTAACTTACATATTTGGAAAATAGCTTGAAGTACCAAATATCTAGCAATCAAGCCAACACAGACAATACACAAGACAGTAATAATAGCGGAAGGCTATTCCCCCATCAAAGTTTACTTCAGTTAACTAGTTCCAAAGTCTTACTACAGATGGATAATGTGCACTGCAGTTCCAGGCTAACGTGGCAGAGGGAGGGGTTTGGGTGTGCGTTTTTCCAAATTAGATGTATTCTCCCTTCTAAAGTGAAGGATATGAAGAAAGAGGGGGGGAAAAAGTTGAGAGAGAAAAGACAAAGGAATCACACTTAATTTTATTTAAGGAGGGTGTGTGGAGGAAGATGGAGAATAAGCATTCATAAAGCTCTGATACAAAGAAAAAAGAATAAATGAAGCCCACAGTAAAACTTCAAAATTAAACAGTATAGAATCAATCAGGCTTAAATTAGAGAAAAGTAGATACAGTGGAAGAATGTGCCGAATTTTCTGCAGCGCTGCCCCAATGAATTATTTCTGAAAGAGGGATCCACCCTCTGTAGCCAAGGCAAGTTATTGCATCAGGCGCCGGTGCTGGAGAAACCCGTTGGGTGCTTCCTACTAGGTCATCTACTCTTGGGGTTCTATTCCGAGCTTCTGGTTCTACCTGACTGGATGTGAAAATACCCTGTCCTCTCTAAATTCTGATGTCCATGCAGCGCCCTAGGAAAAGGAGGCCTGGATTAAACCATCAAGCTCTCCAGCCCATGAAACCTCCCTCCCTTCCCCAAAATCAAATTTCAAAATGTTCCATACGAAGGATAGCTGCCTTCACCGATTAACTCGGGAACATTTACAGCTTCCCACGTTTACGATCTGAAAGCTCACTCGAGTCAAAGGGTCTTTTCGGAACCCAGAAAATGACAGGAGCGAAGGATGAACTCACATTATTAAAAGAGAGAAACAAAGTTCAAAACCTCCCCTTATCCAGGTTTCAACTAGTTTGCTTTCTCAGCGGACCATTCGGCTAACTAAGCACCGAATGAAGATGTCAAGGAGGAAACAATATTTAAGGCATCTTGAAGATTAAAAAAAGAGAGTCAGGCGGTAAGAAGAGAGAACCCGCATCTTCTTCGGCTCGTAACTGACCAGCGAGGAATTAGGAATCTCGCCACCCAAGAAGCACAAAGAACATAGCAGGGGCAGGAAATCTAAAATTGAGGTTATTGAGCTAGGACAGGGTGGAGAAGCTAAGGGTTACAGATCCCAGCGTCATCGGAGAGGGAAGAGGCACAGCAGTAACAAGGACTGGGAAAGGAGAACAGATCGCGAGAGAAGGGACGCAGGATGTCGAGGGATCCGAGGGAGTCACCCAAGGAGAGGGATCCAAGGGAGGGAAGGTGGCCGGCGCACGCGGGGACCTGAGTCCAAAGTGAAGGAGGCAAGGAAGATGCCTGGAAACCAAGGGCTTCCAGAGAATGAAAGAGACGGGTAATCGATGAGGTGGACCGGTGCCCGGGAAAAAGAGAGAGAGAAGATGAGAAGGAGGGGACCAGGGGGGAGGAGAGCCGGGGCTGACTGCAAAGCGCAGAATGCCGGTACCTGCTGGCGCACGGCTAGTCTGAGAGGTGCCAGCACCTCCTCAGCCCCGGCGCCGTCCATGCTGCTCCGGGAGGCGGCGGCGGGGAAAGAGGTCGTGGCGCGGGCGGGCTTGCTGATGGGCCGGCAGGGCAGGAGCGGAGGCCGGGCCGGGAGACCGGGTGGCGGCGACAGCAGCAGAGCGGCGCGGGCAGCTCTAAGCAGCGCCGGACGCAGAGAGGGCATGAGCCGGCGGCGCTGGGAGGTCGGGAGGGGGCGGCGGCGGAAGCGGCGCGCGCGGCCGGGCCGGGAGCATGATGAAATCGCCGCGTAAACGCCGCGGCGCGCGCAGCCGCACACTCCCCACCCCGCGACGCGGCGCCGGGTCGCCACCGGCCGATTCGACACAAAACCCCGGAAGGACCCGGAATCATTCAGAGCCCCGAAAGGGCTTGAGCCGCCTTGGGCGCACAAGAGGGCTGTGGGGTCCCAGGTAGACCCCCGGTGAACAGATTTGCACAATGCGTTAGTGGACATTTAAGTGGACATCTTAGCCCCGTCCGAGACACGCGGACTGAAACTCACGAGGACCTTCAGAGCACAGGCTTGTACAGGGGCACTGACGCTCTGGCCGACCCACGGGAGTACACACTTCTGTTTCCTTCTTTCGCCCCCTGGTTCTTAAAGGGTCACGTCCGACTCTGCGACCCCATGGACTGTAGCCCGCCAGTCTCCTCGGCCCATGGGATTATTCAGGCAGGAATACTTGAGTGCGTTGCCTTTTCCTCCTCCAGGAGATCTTCCCCACCCAGGCATGGAATCCGAGTCTCCTGCATTGGCAGGCGGATTCTTTACCACTGAGCTACCTGGGTAGACGTCAAAACAGATAGAGACTTAAACTTAGTGTTGCCCAAGCTCAGATGATTCTCAGATAAGGAAACAGGTCAAGAGAAGTGAATGATCTGTTCATCTTCACCCATCCATGCCTTCCCAATGTCAAGACAAAAGCTGAAGAAAGGGAGAAGAGGAATGATGGACTTATTTGGGGAAGATCAGTGCTGCCCATCCTTTGCTGGGTGAACAAGATTTGAATCAGCAAAGATGAGGAAAGGTAAGAGGCAAAGACATGAGAAAGGCTGGAAAGCGACACTGTGCCTGGGAGTGGAGAGGAGCATCCAGGTGTCCTGGCTTCGCTCTGCTTGGCCCTGCCTCAGCTGACCTGACTCGTGGTGAGGCCCCAGATGATGGACCCTCTGGAAGTGGCTTCTTCCCTCCCTCGGGCAGGTTGGCTGAAAAAGCTGGATTCTGTTTCCGCAGAGAGAATAGAAGAATAAGGAATGTGTTAATTTTAGAAATAGCATTACACACACCCACCAGAATGCCTAAAATGGAAATGATGGAAAATGCTAGGAGATGCTCAGGGACACTCCCACACAGCTGAGGGGAATGTGGATTGGTACTGACTTTGGAGGATGGTTTTGAGGGTATCTCCTGAAACCAACCATACACACCTTAGTCCAGAGTGGAGGAGGCGAGGAAGATGCCTGGAAATCAAGTCTTCCAGGGAATGAAAGGGATCATGGGCAAAGAGGACCCGGGCCCAGGAGTGTACAAGAGTACACAGGCACAACAGACTGAAGTCACCTTTCCCAGAACTGTGAAAAGTTCATATTACTTCTCTTCTTTGAGCTTGTGTTTCTAGAGAAGTACACACAACTTAGCATAAGCAGAGCAGGTACAGAATGTTAAACAATTTGTATTCTTAAAACTTTTATTTCAAGATTAATTTTTTTGGATAGTATATGTACTTTCATTGAAGTGTAATTAATTTACAATGTTGTGTTAGTTTCAAGTGTATAGCAAAGTGATTCAGTTATACATATATATATTTTTTTCAGAGTCTTTTCTATTACTGATTTTTACAAGATACTGAATATAGTTCCCTGGGCTATACAGTAGGTCTTTGTAGTATAACTGTTTTATACACAGAGAATATATTTAAGTTTGTTAACCTGACATGAAACTTAAATATTGGGCACCTGCTAGATGATACTTCATTTAGTACAAGTTTTGATATTTATTAATCATAATTTTTATTTGGCTTTATTTTAACAGGTAATTTTATATTTTTAATTGAAGTATAGTTGATATACAATAGTGTATTATTTCCAGGTGTACAAGATAGTGATTCACAGTTTTTAAGGGAGTGAGAGAGGATGAGCTGGTTGGATGGCATCATCGACTCAATGGATGTGAGTTTGAGCAAACTCCAAGAAATAGTGACGGACAGGGAAGCCTGGCATGCTGCAGTTCATGGAGTTGCAAAGAGTCGGACACTACTGAGCAACTGAACAACAGCAACAGCACTCCACTTATAGCTTTTTATAAAATACTGGTTATATTCTCTGTGTTCTACAATATATCCTTGTAGCTTATTTTATACATAATAGTTCATACTCTTAATCCCTTGCCCTTATATTGCCTCTTTATCCTTCTCTCTCCCTACAGGTAACCACTAGTTTGTGTTTTATTTGTTGTTGTTCATTCACTAAGTCTTGTCCAATTCATTGTGGCTTCCCTGTCCTCCACTGTCTCCCAGACTTTGCTCAAATTCATGTTCATTGAGTCAGTGATGCTATCTAACCATCTCATCCTCTGCCGTCCCCTTCTCCTTTTGCCTTCAATCTTTCCCAACATCAGGGTCTTTGCCAATGGGTCAGCTTTTTGCATCAGGTGGGCAAAGTATGGGAGCTTCAGCTTTAGCCCATCAGTCCTTCCAATGAATATTCAGGGTCGATTTCCTTTAGTATTGACTGGTTTGATCTCCTTGCAACCCAAGGGACTCTCAAGAGTCCTCCAGCATTACAATTCAAAAGCATCAATTCTTCAGCACTCAGCTTTCTTTACGGTCCAACTCTTACATCTGTACTTGAGCCTGTTTCTTTTTTGTTATAGTCACTAATTTGTTTTATTTTTTAGATACCACATATAAATGGTATCATACAGTATTTCTTGTTGACTTATTTCACTTAGCGTAATATCCTCCAAGTCCATCCATGTTGCTGCAAATGCAAAGTTACATTCCTGTTTGTGGCTGAGTAGTATTCCAGTGTACCACATCTTCTTTATCCATTCATCTGCTGATGAACACTTGGGTTGCTTCAGTATTTTGGCAATTGTAGATAATGCTTCTGTGAACATTGGGGTCTGTGAACAGGTATTTTTCTCAAGTTTGTCTTTTTGGTTTTTCTTCAGGTATATATGCAGGAGTGGAATCATATTGTAGTTCGTCTTAATTTTTTTTGAGAAAATTCCATACTGTTTTTCACAGTGGCTGCATCAATTTACATTCCTACCAACAATGTACAAGGGTTCTGTTTTCTTCACATCCTAGCCAACATTTGCTATTTGTATTCTTTTTGATGATAGCTGTTTTGACAGGTGTGAGGTGATACCTCATTGATAGGTTTTGATTTGCATTTCTCTGATGATTAGCAGTGCTGAGCATCTTTTCATGTGCCTGCTGACCATCTGTGTTTCCTCTTTGAAAAAATTTCTGTTCAGTTATTCTGCCCATTTTTTAATCAGTTTTTTTTTTTTGATGTTGACTTGTATGAGTTGTTTATATATTTTGGATATGCACCCTTTGTCAGTCATATCATTTGCAAATATTTTCTCCCACTCAGTAGGTTGCCTTTTTTTGGTCAGTGGTTTCACTTGTTATGCAAAAGCTTTTAAGTTTACTTTTGTCCCATTTGTTTATTTTTGCTTTTATTAGGAAACAAAAAAAATTGCTATGAATTATGTCAGAGTGTTCTGCCTATATTTTCCTCAAGGAGTTCTGTGGTTTCTGCTCTTACATTTAGGTCTTCAATACATTTTAATTTAATTTTGTATAGGGTGTGAGAGAATGCTCTAATTTCATTCTTTTATTAATACATGTAGCTGTCCACTTTTCCCAAAACCACTTATTGAAGAGATTGTCTTTTCTCTGATGTATATTCTTGCTTCCATTGTCATGGATTAGTTGACCACGGCATGTGGGTTTATATCTGTGCTCTCTATTCTATTGCATTGGGCTGTCTGTCAGTTTTTGTGCCAGTACCAGGCTGTGTTAATTAGCTTTATAGTGTAGTTTAGAGTAAGGGAGGGTGATTCCTCCAGCCCTGTTCATTTCTCTCAAAATCATTTTGGTTATTTGGGGTCTTTTGTGTTTCCATATAAATTTTAGAATTATTTGTATTTTTAAATTTTTTATTTCAAAATTTGATATTTATTAAGCATCGTTATTGGAGAAGGAACTGGCAGCCCACTCCAGTATTCTTGCCTGGAGAATCCCAGGGACAGAGGAGCCTGGTGGGCTGCCGTCTGTGGGGTCGCACAGAGTCAGACACGACTGAAGCGACTCAGCAGCAGCAGCAGCAAGCATAGTTTTTGGCTTTATTTATTAGGTAATTTTGACTTTATCTTAAAATTCTTAAATATGAAAATCAATTAAAAATTTTAGATATACTCTTATTTAGATTTTTATTAAACCATGTTTAAGCTCTGTACACTCTGGATACAGTTATACATTTTTTAAATTCTTTAGATCAATAATGTCACATTCATGTTCATGTGAGGATAGTCTTATCACTCTTCTCCAAATCTGTCCTTTCCTCCCTCCAGTTCATCCTCCCTACTTCTGCCTCAGTGATTATTTCTAAAAGGCAAAGCTGTGCTTCATGCACCTCTCCTCAGGATACTTCAATAGGTCCACAAGGACCTTAGCAGAATTTCCGAAGTGGTTTTCCTTAGGCATCTTAACCACTGGACCGCCAGGGAAGTCTCCTCTCCAGCTTTTTGATGACTAGTACCAATGGCCAATGAAGAGATGAGTCCTCCTCCCATAAGCCAAGTAAGTGAGCCACCTATGAAGCAAGTCCTGCGGCTCCACTCCAGCCTTCAGCTGACTGCAGCCCCAACTAACGTCTTGACTCCAACCTAATGGAAGACCCTACTCCAGAACCACCCAGCTAAATAGCTCCCAAATTTCTCACCTAGAGAAACTGTGAGGTAATAAATGTTGTTTTTTAAGGTGATAGATTTTAGGGTCATTTGTTACACAAAAACAGATAACTAATACAGGGTTCTTCCCTGAGTCGACCATACAGTCTGTTGTCTTGAGAAGTGAGTGGCCCATCTGTTGACTTTTAAAGGACCTTGTGAACCTTTGACAGTGAGAATGTCACAGCAGTGACTATAGTGTCCTCCCTGAATCTCCTTACTATAGAAGAGCCAGGCACTTATCAAATAGTCATTCAGTAAACATTTAACCCCTGAGAAGCAGAGGACTCCAAGGCTTGATTTTTATGGGTCTTCTGCACTTAGGTGCCAGCAGCAATAGTGGGGGCTAAAGCAGGGAGGTGCCCTGAAAAAGATCCTAAATGTAGGAGGAGTGAACACAGGCTATGATCCAGCTGGGTTGGCTTCCTTAATTCTCTCTCAGTGGCT